AGTTAAAACTGCTTTGATTTAGAGCAGGGTTAGGGCATCCTCCTCACTTTACCCAATTTTTAGCAAATTTTTAAATTCAACAATGTAATGAAATGAAACCAAATTCTAAGATTTGCAGAATGGACATTGTTAGCTGATATTTGTTGGTCTTCCTTACTGTACTCAAATAATTATTTGATCTCCAACTAGCTAGAAAATTCCAAGGCAATTGTCAACTTTTCATTGAGAAGGGCAGGGGAGGGAAAATAAAAAAAACTAGTTTTCTTCAATTTTGAAATATAGTAAGTTTTTATGGAATACCAACAAGTCTCCCTAGAAGAGTTCTTGACAGAGGTCAGAGAGGATTTCACAGCTGCCTTTAGTCTTCCTGCTGTAGTCATGAAAGGTTTGCCTCCTAAGAGCCAATTCAGAGCACTTAACCTGGCTCACTGCTCTGACAAGGGAACCTTACGTTTTCTGCTGCCTGTAAGAGGCAGCCCAAGGAAATGAGACAAGTCAATCTAGACAGAAGAGTAAGCTGATAGAAATATGGTCAATGTTTATTCAATATACAGAGCATACATTTATTTACAAAAAAGTATTCATGTTGGGTTTTTTTCGTACTAATTCTTGGTAGATACTTCTGGTCTGATAAGTATGAGGAAAGTCATCCTTTCGCTCAGTTTAATGAAACCTCAAGAAACAACATGTTCTCAATAATAAAAAGACATTCACTTGGTAGTATGGTAATAACTTTTCAGATTGAATGACCTGATGCTTATATGACTGCACAATGTGTCTGTAAACAAATCTGAAAAGTATGTTTGCAGCTGTAATGTTTATTGGCTTTACATTGGCCAGTGTTTACAGATTAGAATTTGTAAGTATGCTTAACTTGTTAAAACTTCATAAATAAAGACAAAGTAAACTGTAAAAATAAGCAGATGCTTACTGTAAGCTTTAGAAACTATTTATTCAGCTGGTACTTGTGACTTAAGTTCAATATCAGTATTAGAACACTGGAATAAAACACAAGCCTTTAATACAGTTCATTATTATAGAAAGCTGGGACTAACTAATCCTTTCTCCCGCTGGCCCCCAAGTGTATCTCTCAACTCTCTGTTCCTAAAACCCCTAATACACTTTTTTTATTTGTGATGTCACTTTCCCACCCTTCAAGGCACATAAGGTGGCATGTATCATTGCACTAATGTTAGCTTTATTTCTGTTGATGCCTTGTGGTATTGGCAAGAACTTAAAAGTTATTTTAGTTAAGATAATAAACAGTCTGTATTTAGTGTCCTTCCTGTGATTTCCGTTTGTTGCCATACAGGCAGTGGGTCGTGCTTGCAGTTGGTAAAGCCAGACATCTCTACAAGTGATAGACTAGAAAATATTTTGAAATAAATATAAAAACTTTCTTGTATGAAAGGTAAGTCTTGGTGCTTAGGGCATTTTAAAACAGCAAGGTCTTTCAAACAAAGTAAGGAGAAATTAAAGTCTATATGTAAATGAACTCATCTTGGGTTTCTTGCAGTGTTGTAAAAATCATGCAGTTTTTTTCTGTGTCATTGATTCCTTAGCATTTGCCCTGTTAATATTAATTGACAAAATTGTATGACAAGTCATATGCCAAGAATATCTTGCCAAATTGAAAAGTCATTATAGTAACCCATTTCTTGCAGGAACTATAAAAAACCTAATCATACTGAGGCAACAGGGCAGACCTAAATTACTGGCAGGGCAACTACTTATTTTGGCAACGGCAGTGGCAAAAATCACATCATAATTTCTTCTACAGCTTTTTTCAAATAAGCTGGACCTTCAGTACTATTATGCTATGCTAGGATGTCTCTCTCTATACAGTTTACAAACTCAGTTAAATCAGACGTCCAAACAGATGAAGATGAAAAATAAGTTTGCTGTAGCCTTTGCTAGTTGCCAAGTTGATGTTTATCAGCAAATACCTATTATAGGCTGAAAAGAATCAAATTAATTTTAATATGATGGCAACAGCTGATGCAAGACATTGTTAAATAAGTTGAATATGAATGGACTTGACAGCATGTATTATGAAACGCATTATGGTCTGGAGACTGGGTGTTGCCCTAAGGTGTTGAGCACCCTGATGGGCAGATGAATTAATGGTCTGGCAAATGAATGTAATTCTCTGCTCTAGGTAACTGTCAGCTTCAAACATGTTAAGCTGTCTTAGGAAAGCTGCAAATACTTGATTTGTTTTCCGAACTTCTTTCCTACCTTATTAAACGGCGTATGTTTAGGGACTATAAAATATGTATATTCTATTTAAGAATAATATGTTTACTGTATCTCAGCAGTTTTTTTGTCCTTGATATATTTTCTTTCCAGTTTATATATTTTTTTAATAGTTTGTTTGCAAAACCTGTCTTCCTTACCTATTTACTGAAAGACACTTGCTATCAGATTTTTCCACTATGTGTCTGGCACTTGTGTTTACTGTACTAAATCATAAGACTTCCTTCACCACTGCTCCTTCTTCATTTTCAAGTTGCTGAATTTATACACAGGAATAGCTATCAGTCTGTCATATCTGTAATCACAGCAAGTTCCTCCAACCATACCTTTGAAATAAACATATTTTCAAGGAAAACTAGATATTTTAAGCCTTCAAATCATCCTAAATTAACTGCAACCACTACTGCTGGCAGCACAGGGCTGCATGAAGCTGTGCTGCAGGTGTGACTTTCTGCTTACCCCATCAGACAGCACAACTGGGAGCTTACTTGTGCTGGGAGCTCACAAAGTCCTGAGGCAGTTGTCCATCTCTAAAAAAAAACCCAAACACCTGCTCATAGAGGGAACTGAGAGCTATTTATCAGCTGATTAATTTGGTTTGAATGTTTATGGTTTGGTACAGTAAAAAAAAATATGCTAATTTGTGGTGTAGATCATTCTGAGCATAAGGCTTATGATTTCTTACCATAACCAAAAAGTGCAGGTGAATATCCAAATCCCAAGACTCTGTCTGACTGTGTGCTCCTCAAGAGGAACAGTCCTGGTCTCCCATGCCACTGGTGTCATTTCAGACTCTTGCACTGAATCTACTAAGCAGGGACTGGCAAATGGGCTGAGTAAGTTTATGCCCCGCAGATTTGCTTTCAGACTCATCAAAGGATAGATTTATTTTTTTTTTGCAGCATAAAGAGAGCAACAGTATGAAGAGAAAAATGTCATGTAAGGAGGAGAGAAGGGCTTTTTGAATAAAATGTTAACTGTGCTGTGAGGGAAGAAATTTTGTGGAGGTTTGTGGCTATCTTGATTTGTAAGGACCTATGGAAACAAAGGAGAATGTAAGCACTGTGGTAGTTAATTAGAATTAGTTGATCCATGGCTTAATCTATGTATCTGTGTAAACCAGTACGAATTAATACAGCCAAGAAAGAGACAAAAGTGTTCACAGGCATTACAGTTTTGATACTTGCACACTGATTATCTTATTGTATAAATTTATTCAGAATCATGATGTATTCTGTGGAGGCTAGTCTCTGTAATTTGCCAGATTTCTCTAGGGACTCTTGCCAGTGCAATAAATGTAATGCACAGTGTGACATGAAACAAGTATGTATGTATTTTGTATACTGAGGGTACTACAAAAAGGACTGAACAAGCTGAGCCTACCTCTTCTTTACTGTTGCATACAAGTAATGAGTTTGCAAAGACTGCAGAATTAAGGCTTCTCAGATAGGGTGTGCATAGACAAAATATTGCTGGAAGGTGAGAAAAAAAATTAATTGGTACTTTGTCAACAGTTGTTTGCTTGTTTGTTTCTTTTTAATTCCCACTGAAAATTTGATGTCTTTTGCTTCTAATCAGATCCTTGGCAATACAGTCACATAGTTCTACATAAATGTGAGACAGAAATTTAAGAACAGGTGTGCTGTGGTTTTTGGAACTCATTCATTTTAAATTCCTGCTTATAGCTGGATTCTGTCAGAAATCTTGGTGGAAAAAACAAATAGATTCATCCATATTTTCCATGCATTTAGCAGATGTAATGTTGTGATCATTTCTGCAAATTTATAGTGTGTGAACACAAACATACATATGCACAAAGTAAAGCTATTATTTCATATGAAGAAATAGCTGGAAATGCCTCCTTATCTCACTGTCTGCAAGAAAAAGAGCAGACCACTCTGTTTTGGTCTAGTTTTCTCTAACCAAGACACAAAGTAGCACAAAGACTAGTTTTCTCTAACCAAGACACAAAGTAGCATTTTACACCATAGAATTGAAAAGAACCAAGACTTCATTAAGGCATGAGGTTACCATCACGGAACCCTGGGGAGAGCAAAACCTAAGGAATATGAATGGCTAAGAAGCTTTCTCCAAGGCTCCTCTGACATCTCTTTTGTCTCATTTTTGTGTTCTTGCTTCAGTTCATATGCTATTTGTTATTAATGTCTTTGTTTTTCATGCAGAGAAGAAAAATGCTTTTAAATGCTGTGTATGTGTTTTAAATTACTGTCACTACCAAACCTGCTGTCAATAAACTAGTTTTACTTAATCAGCTATAAAATGTCATGAGTAAGAGTTCTTAATTGAGACTGGAAAAATCCAAGATAATTACCATAATAGGCTGAAGATCTCAGTGACTGAAGGTTTTAGAAGTCAGAGAAAATTGGGGACATATGTGTTCTGTCTGTAAGATTGTTCTATATAGGATATGGAAAAATAGAAATGACAGGCATTTTGCACTGCACAGTAGCATTCATCATAGAATGAACATATGCATGTGTTTGTCAGAAGCAATGAAGTAAAAAATGACACTTAATTGGAACTGACATAAAGTGGCCTCATTAGTAGAGCAAATAATATATGTGTGTAGTTTGGTTGTCAATAGAATCAACACATATTTCCACTGACAGATATATTGGTCTCTTTTAAGATTCATGCCAAGTTTTCAGCTCAGTTCACCCATTTAGAGAATGTAGTTTGTTTTTTTAAAGTGCAATGCTGAAGTGTAAATTATGTGTTTATAGGGTGCTGTGATAACACCAACAATGGACCACACTATGTCAATGCAGCCAGCAAGCATGATGGGCCCTCTGACCCAACAGATGAACCACCTTTCCTTGGGCACAACAGGAACGGTAAGATTATACTATTTACTTTCTGTATTGCAAAACATTTATTGCTTCCTGAGCTTCTCCAAGTAATTTATTACTCCTGGGTTTTCAGTGCTTCACCTTTTTGTAGTTTAATATTGCCAGAGATGTCTGGCCCAGTCCAGACAAACATATCAAAGTGCTTTTCATCATGACCCAAACATGATGTATGACACAAACAATATCTCCATATTGCTACGTTACTCAGACATGGATCTGCAGATGTGTTTCTCAAACCATCCTAGAGTCATCATGAGGTATTATAGAGCAAAAATGACAAAGTAGTATGAGTATAAAACAGTAGGTGAACAAGAACTGTACTGTACTTAGGAGGAATTACCTGTATTAATTCTCTTGTAAATATGAAAGCACTCTATCAATTTGGTTTTTAATCAGATGCTGTTAACTTGTCAATCTAGTGAGTTTTATACCACTGGGAGGTGGGAGATTTGGCTTTGTGGTACAATCCATTACTTATTTCTAACCCATAGCAGCCAGCCATCCCTAGTTTGCTCCAGGCTCAGAAATGTGATTTTAGGTCAAGGTCAGCTGTAATTCTAGTATATTATATTTAAACATGCATATTTCAACAATTATTTTCTCTTTATGCTGTGTAAGTCAGATTCAATTAAGTTTCCCAGAGTCAGAGAGAGACAAAAAATAGGCTTAATAAAAGTTAATAAAACTCTGAAATATTCCTCAAATACAACAGCCTACACAAAATATAGTGTTTTGGTATGTGAGTGTGTGCATGTATATTTTTACAAAAATGCAGACATAAACATGACACTTGTATGTTTAAACACACATTTTATGTAATAATTACATGAAAGATCTATTATGCATTTACAGTTTTTTTCTTCTACTTCATCACTGTGCTACTTTATGCTAATCCATAGGAATACAGTTTTCCAGCTTTGGGGTTTGTTTTATTATGTTTTCTTCGGGTTTTTTTGTTGGTTTTTGTGTGTTTCCATGTTTTTTAAATGAGTAAGGTGCTGAATAAAGACGCACCCTTAAAAATTCATTTAACTCATCATACTGTGTTTTCTTTTCCTCTTGTCTTTTCTTCCTCTCCTTTTTTCTTATCTGTCAAATTCAATTGTATCTCTATTGCCTTTTCCCCCTTTAAAAATATACTTTTCCCCTCTGGACGTGTTCCTGTGCGATGTGCTCTGGGTGATCCTGCTCTGGCAGGGGGGTTGGACTGGATGATCTTTTGAGGTCCCTTCCAACCCCTAACATTCTGTGATTCTGTGATTGTCTTCTGCACTCATTTTCTCTCTATCCTAACGCAAACTAGAAAATTTCCAGGTACAGTTAGTTCTCTTCTGGCTTGAGACCACCATTACAGTGCTCATAGTAACAAATCCATAGAAACAATTCCACTTGGGGAGGCAGGGGAAGGACTCTGAAAGGCAGTGAGTGATCTAGTGGATGACGATAAAATTCTGAATTTACTCTACTGAAACTGGAAGTAAAGAAAATCTTTCCTTCCTTTTCCTATCTCTTAGCACAGCATTTTTCAAGGTCACAGTGTTCCCTGACAACTTCTTGAAACACATTGAGAGGTATCCCATAGGTTTAAGTTTACTCTTTTTATAACTCTTAACTCATTAACAGGAAACTGAAATAGCAAGAAAGAGGAAATGATTGTTGGGTGTTGCGATATCCATAGCCTTTTCATAAATCTCAAATGACATTATTTTATCATATATAGGATTTCTCTTTGGTAAAAACACAATCAGAACCACATTCAGTTTAAGTCCTCATGCAAGCAGGATAATCAAGGAGATCATTTGGAGTTCCTCCTGTCAGGAGTTAAAGGGAGAGTTTTAGGATTTGGGCTGCCAGTAGCAGTTTTGTTGGATGCATCCATCATCACTTGAAATTTAATCTTACTAACCTGTTCTGTTACAGAAAATAATATGAGGAAAATGGACAACTTGTTTGGACATATGATTTATTTAAAGAGATTATTTATTTAGAGATATTTTTGCTTCCTTTATTCTGAAGTCTGAATTTCAGTCCAGAGAGAGGAGCATTGAGAGCATAAAACCATGACGAATTGAGCCAAGATCAAAACACACTACTGTGAGTACCTCAGCAGGACTAAGTTTTAGGGGACATAGAAAACATAAACTTAACATTTTTGTTATGAACATAATTTTAAATTTTATCCTTAAAACTATGCAACAGGGTGCCATAAAGAGCTGCCAGCTATCTTTCAAGAAACCAGCCAGATTTTTTTACTCAAACAAGCCAAAAAGTCGCAAATTATTCTGCTTAGTATCAGCTGTAACTCTCCTAATTTAATTTAAAAGCTTGCAGTATGCAAAGCAGTTTTTATTTAAAGGCTTTCATACATTCACTTCAGTAGACAAACCATTTTGCTAATTAACATACATTTTTCAGCCAACACAGACCTCTGTGGTCACTTAAGTGAGAAGTTACTTAAAACCCACTTCCAAACTTGCCTGATTCAGTATGAATGCTGAGTTTCTAAAATACTATTAAACAGAAAATGTATTCTCTAGCTTGCTTGCTAGAGAAACAGCATAAAGGCCTTTGCATGCCTCATATCTTGTGGGAATTCCTCTGCTTTTTTATGTTCTCTGAAAGATTAAAATATTCTGTCCAGGCAGAAGCTGTTCCAGAGGGGACACCCTTCACAGAGGAGCACTCTAGCCCTTAGGTGAGGTGAATTACCTGAGTAAGAGCAGCCTCTTCCAATTCCTTCCTTGACACAAAATATTGGATTTCAGTTTTGATATCTCAGCCCTGAAGCACACATTAAAACCCCATGGGAATTCAAGGGGCAGCTGCCCCCATCCCTGCCCACAATTGATTATTTCGTTTTCATGCTCGGGGTGAGGCACATTTCTGGCTAAATGCTGGTAGGGCTTCTCACTTCTAGGTGGGAGCATCCATAGCAGCAGCCAAAACAGAGTTTTCCTACAGCCCCACTCACAGACAGCTACCTTCCCCTTGTGCTATGAGAAGCTTTCCATCATGGACCCCAGAAAACACAAAGAATTTTGGTTGGGAAACCATTTCCTATTAATAGAAACAAAAGGGCCTTTTTTCTCTCCACAACCGCCAAAGAATATGTATTTGAGTTAGTTTTATGTTCTTATAGTTTTACACATTTTTACTTCTTATCTGTTACTCACTTGTCTGCATAAAATCAAACAACTCTGCTATACTAAGCACTTCTCTGATCAGGAGGATGCACTAAGGCTATCAAGATGCCAAGTCAAGTAAAAAGCTGCAGATCTATCTTCGCTTGATCTCATTGCCCACCTCACAAAAATATACAGCTGCAGTAAATATTCCAGTCCAAAGGATAATATAGGGCACTGGGGGAAGAGAGGAGGTAACGGTCTGCTCTTTGTGGCAACTCAACCTCATGTTCATGTGCTGTGAGAGGATATCATACAGCATTTGCATCTCCCAGTTACTGTGCTTTGTGCTTGATCCACCAAGAACATAATTTGTTTCTGCTTTTACGAAAATCAAATTGATTTCTGCCAGTGAAAAGACAGTTTATATTACTGATTAATTGAGAGGCAAGTGTGCTACTCGGATCACCTCCCCAAATCTGCCTGAAATCTGGAGGTAAGCTGAGAATCTGCCAGAGGAGAGATTTCTGCCAAATTTGCATGTATTTTTCATACATACCTCTTCACTCAAAAAAAAAGCAGAAAGCATTTACATGGGTACACTGGCTGTGGGCAAATATGTAAAGAAAAGCTATGCTTAAATTATGTCAAGATTACAGCAAAAAAGTGGTAAGTCTTAATATTCTGATTAAGGCTGACTACCCAGCCTCAGCTCCTACAATTGTATTAAAACAAAATGTTAATGCCAGGAGGCATGATGTGAAAGCAGGCAACTGGTTTTAACCTTGAAATGTTTCTTTTGTTTACTAGTTTATGATTATTTATTACAGTAAGTCTTGTTTTTCCTATGTAATATTAATCTACAATTAGGTCTGCTATTAAAAAAGGTACCACTAAGGGAGAACAGAGTGAGTGAGCCTGTAAGGGTAGCATTGAAAGAACAGCTTAGTATGTGTTTAATAATGTATGGAGGCTGGAATTATTCCACCATCAGCCTGTCATTCAAAATATTTCCGATACAGCCATTGATCTGACATCTGTTTTGTGGTTTAATAAAGTTGTGATTGATGCCTGAGTGGATATAATACAGAAACCTTTAGAAATATAAAAACTAAGCAGCCTGATCAATGTTTTCAGTCCCTGTTGCTCAGTTCCCTCTTACTTAGACACTTCCACGTTTGGCCGTTAGAAGCAACAATCCACCTATTCAGTGGGAAGATGATTTGCTCTATTCTTTCTCCTCTGCTGCTCATTCCTGAAGGAAGTTTTCTGTTATGCATTTTCTTGGTCTGAGTTTCTCTCCTTTCCGTGCTGTTAGCATCCATTTCAGATACCTCTTGGCCTCCAGTTTCACCCAACACTCTGAGGCGGACTTGGTTAGTCCTTGCTGGCAGAGGGGTAATTCCAGCTTTTTTTTCCTCTCTCTTTCGAAAGTCCTTTAGCATAGATTTGTTTCATCTTTGGCCTTTGAGGACCACACCAATGGGAGAGTGAGAAGGAGCCAGGTTTTTTACTAAAACTGCTAGCTCAACTCTGCTGCTTAATTATTCTTCATGCTTGCAGACAGTTCACTCAGCTTTCAGTTTCTAATTTAGAAACATAATGGGCAACTAACAAAATAAACTCTCCAATGCATTTTTTAACTACCTCCCCCTCCAAAAAAAAAATAAAATTCTTTCATTGTTCTCGTTACCTCTGTATTAAAAATGGAGTCAGGTAGAAGAAATGCATTGATCTAATGTAGGATTCTGTTGAAACTGCTAACCACCCTAACTCAGCTTCCCTGTTTTACAGTATCACCAAAAATCTCTCAATGGAATAACAGGCTTGTTATGTGGGTACATCAGTCTTATCTTTCACTTT